TTCTTCTGTATGATTTTTGGCAACTGTACGATGACACAGAGTTTAATCAATTATAGAATACAATTTCACTATTACCTGACTGAACATCCTAGTCCTGTCGGTTCCTGGTCTGGACCATGGCTGAGCTCATCACAGATGTCATGGATCATCGTGCAATGCACGACAATGAAAAGACAGACGTCTGCAGCAAATCCCAGCAGGTCTTACAACTGGGAAAATGAAAAAATGCCTGGAGTACGTGGGGAATACCTGTCCCATCATCTGTCTTTAGATCATGGGCTAGGGGTCAAATTGTGAGAAGCCCTGGCGGGGGTAGGGGGGGGGATGGGTACGCATTGTCACAGCCGTGACTGAAAACGCGATTCCATAATGGAGAAAAAGATGTCTGACACGGATTGCTTTTAAAATGACCAGCAGGAGTGACCTAACAGCCTCAGTCATGGTCAGTTATGCCCCTGGGGGGGGGGAGTGGGTATCTAACTGAGACGCATTCATGGTTAGTGGGGGGTTATGGGCAATCAGACATGATGAAGGAGCATGCTGTGTAGGTGTTTAATAACTCACCCCTATACCACCTTTAAAGAGATCAAGTGAACCCAGTAACCATGGAGACTGTGAGGGAGTGTAACCTAACCAGCACAACCTGCCTTCATGTTCACGGTCCAACAACAGTGTCGTATAGCCAATATTAGAAGGTGTTTCATTGCCAAATTCAGTATACAAATTAACCTGCAAACATTAATAATCAGAGTGGCCAGTAGGTCATTCATACTACATACCTGTAGGTCTGTGGGTACATTTAACTGATCCACTAAACAATTGTTATAAACTTACATTTTTTTAATCAGGATATGGATTTTCTGAAATCACCCATTTTTGCAGTCTTTTACCTTTTTCACAATAGTTTTATTTATCAATTGTGAAATCGAAAACACAGCAATAAGTTGATCAGTGCAACATCTTATTTGAAAACTCTAACTCCTGTTCCACTATATCCTACAGTATATTCCTCTCCTTTGACTTTATGCTCCAATGGTCCACTTAGGGTCAGTCTAGGACACCCAGAGAAGTTAGTCTGTTGTAATTCCTTATTTATAAACAATATCATTGCAGTGTCACATTGTGGGATATTTAACTACTACAGTGATTCAGATATCTTCTATGAATCTTCTATGGCATCCCTAGACCAAACTGAATGGATTTAAATAGTGATGGATAAACTCTATTTTGGGCAGCCTAGGAGATCTATCAGCTCTCCGTTCTGGAACTGACATTGTGGTTCGGGCTAGCTTGATATGTTGATATTAAGCCAATTATGCATTAACTCAGCTTTTTTTCCCAAACTGAGGGGGGGCTTTCCTTAGCCTGGCCTCTGGCATCAGTGACAGGCCAGGACAGGCAGATAAGGGACTAGTGTGATATTTCCCAGGTGATATTTTCTGCTCCCCGCTGTGAAGAACGTGATCAGACCGGAGACAGCAGAGGGTGGGATGGATCTTAACGCATGGGCATACCATGACCCCAGTGCAGGGGTCAGGGAGCTCTGGCTGAAGGAAGGTCTCCCTCCTCATAAACACAGAAGAGCTGACTTGCAGCCTCCAGGGAGCGAGCCGGAACTTTCCAGCCACTGACGTTTCCCACAGGCTCATGGGCTCTGGGAACCTTGCGTAAAGCACACAGTTACAAAGAGCTCTTTAGTTTATGGCTTAAGCTTTTTTCTAACCAATGATGACTTTTTTCATGTTTCCGTTATGGAACGTAAGCACAGAAAACCTGATTTTACAGTTGCACCGTAAAAGTAATACAATGTTGACATATTTCTAATGGCAATTACTTCTGATTGCTCTTTCCGAATGTGGATTGCACAACAACAGAAAGGAAGAGAAATGCAGGAATGCAATGCACTAGAGCGCCCAGTTGAGATCCTCATGGTGGTCTGGTGAGGGAGGTGGGTCCAGAGTGATTAGCATGAGCCAGGGGGTGGGCACTGTCTGCCTCCAGTTCACCCATGGGGGGGGCGAGGGTTGGGGGGATGCAAGAGTATATCATCCATGTGAAACTGCCTGACATTCAAGCACACGGACTAGTAACACTTATAAACCCTAACAATTCATAGAAAATGTATGGAAAAAGTATATTTACAGAGGAAATGGGAGCATTTTTAGTAATTCAAATAAATCATGTTACTTGCCCTTTAATTGTGTTCTGGAAACAAAGATATCTACTTAACTAGTGGCAAAATTAACAATAGCAGGGTCATGACAACAGTGATGTAGCCTTGAATCACCAATCTCTATACTGGCAATGTAACATCCTGGCCTTAATTCTGTATCTAGAGTCACTGGTCAGGACTTATGCTCATTTATAATGTCCATATTGGTGGAGGCTTATCAGTCAGTGATGGGTAGGTATAGATGTAACAAGTCTGGGTCTAAAATTAGAACTTAAGATCAGGTCTAACTCTTAATGTAGCTATAAAGAGAAAGTGCCCTTTATACATCCAGTAATTCTGTCAATGCCATTCCATTAGCTACCAGACTACAGCTCAATACACTCAATGGGGAATTCCATTAATATTCAATTATCAGACAAATTTAACATCAGGCTGAAGCATGTTATTCTATCTAAGCATTCAAGTGGATAAATAATGGCACAATAATGACCATTGATGGTTTTGTTTCTTAGCAGAAGAATTAACCATTTATCCCTTCATCTCTTGAAATAAAAATGCAAATAACTTTTAACTGCGTATTCTGGTCAGGGTTGTGGTCAGTTAACCAGTCGAATGAAAAATACAACATATATTGAAACAGGACCAGGTGGTTGCCATCTCTCCATCTCTTTGGGTTTTGGAGATGACTGTTCTATTTCTTGAGGAACTCCACATCAATAGTTTACGGTACCAGAAGGAATGTACTTGCTTAATCTAAACCATTCATTATTTATCACTGTTTACAGGCTTTAGATGGCAAGAATGAAGGAAAAGGACATATCGTAATCTACTGACTATAAGGAGGAGAGCATAAATCCTGACATCTCTGAAAAGAAACAAACTTTGAAGGACAGCCCATCATGTGTGATTGATATGATGCTTTGTCCAGTACGTGAGAATGTGCCGGAACATGAGCAGGCCTGAGCACAGTTTCTTACCACGAGGACCACATAAATTCCTTTCCTGGTGTGTCCAGCACATCTGGAGCTGACCTCTATCTTCTCGTGCTTATGGCATATTCAGGATGAAAGTCATAGGTCAGGCACTTATTTACCACAACAGCACCCCCCCCCCATCCACCCACAAACCACCTAAAAGACCCACATCCGCATTATGACTTGCATGTTTTCACAGCGAACCGGTCCTGCTTTATTTATAGCTTAGGAATTGCTGAGGAAGTGCAGGCAGCTGTGCATCTTTATAAGGTTTAGACAGCGTATAGAAATATGCAGCCGACCCATGCCTGACATATACACTAATGACAGGGGCCTTGTGGATGGTTTGGTTCTTCTTAGTCAGTAAATGAAGGGAGCAATTACTAAACAGGGGGCACTTCTGAAAAGCCACTCACAATGGGGGGAGACACTGACCATGAGTCACATGCACTCTTTCTCACAAAAGGCGGGTGGGATACTAGGGAACATTTTCTCCACAAGGCACAACAGCAATGAGTCACAAACAGATCACAAGCCCCCCCCCAGAGTGAACATTTCTCCTCTGCAGTGATAGCATTCTGCATAAGCTCAGTGGCATTCACTGCCAAATAGTTGGCGTTTTCATCGTTACCATATTTGCTGATGGGTGTCTGCCCCCCCCCCCCCCCAACATGTTCAGGATACAGTTAAAATCAGATTTTTTTTTCAAGTAATGGGAGTAGATATCTCTTCTTTAAGCCAACTAATATTCTTGGATTTTACCTGAAAAAAACTGAACTTTAATTTGAACTTTAGATTTTTAATACCCACAACATCCAGTTCCTTATGATCTTCTCTGGACCCTACACTCGATGCACCGTCTGAATGTTGTGACCAGTATCTCATCCACACTTGACTGAATATGAATCTCCACTCTCCACAGCACCTGTTTTTGTAAGATTTATGTCATCTTCACAATATCCTGACTAAAAACTGCCATTACAATCCAAAAAAGAATAAGATGGCTATCAGTGGCTACATCAGAAACACTGCACCTAAAATTCTCCAGCAACTTGTGATTTTGACATTTAGAGAATGTGCCTGAGAATAAGTTTCAGTTTTGTAGTTGTAGAACACTTTGTGACTGCTGCGCTTGTTAGAATGGCCTTCGTTAAAGCAAATGTGATTCGTTGAGGAATTGACGGAATAGTAACACAGAAACACTTCTGGGCTTTGGCGTCATTCCAGTTGCTCCTCGTGGTAAGCTTAAGAATGAGCCTGACATGGGACAAACCGATTTGGCCAAGGAACATGTGCTCTTTCAAATTATAAAGAGAGTCAACAGGTTGTCCTTCCACACCACCTGCACAAGCAGTACTTGTTCAGCTGGGACATGCAGCATTTTTGACTGGCTAGGACAACAACACGTGTAGACCTGATTGAGATGCTGATGGAGAACAAACACAGGTCTGAAAAGAAGGAGAGTATAGTACACTGGCACACAAAGGCAGGGCAGTGTGCACTGTTCACAATGACCACAGATTCCAGAATTTTTCATTATCACTGTATTGCATGTTTACACAATATCCGGGGTTGCCCAGCTAGTTTCTCAGGCACAGTTATAGATCGTGCATAAAGATACAATACATTCTTAACAGACTGAATAAAATCTCAACAGCGCAAATCATCCATATCTCCTACCCAAAGCTACAACACTATGAAGCATGCTTTCGGTATCTTTCAAGTCGCAAAACGTACATCACAGAAATCATTAATAGCACATCATAGACATGCCAAATGTGAAGACGTGGACTTTATTTTATTACTCTTAAGGTCAAATGGTAACACTGAAATTAAATGACTTCACAGACTTTGTCTGTGAAGAGTTCAGTCTGGTTCTGAGACGCAGTTTACAGACAAGCCCAAGGGCTGATAGCATGTAGGAAGCTTGTCTGGAAGAATGGGTTTGTAGGCAGAAGACACCTCCCCATTATTTGCCACCTCCTCTTCCTTGTCCTTCTGATATTTGAACACCAGGTATTCCGTGCCCATCCATGCTGCCCATTGTAATCAGCAGGCTTCACTGGGGGATGGAACAGGGATGGAAACAAAGAGATCCTTACAGTCCCACCATTAGATGGACTGCCTGACTGAATGGACATAAATCCATGTTGCTCACCTCTCTGACACTGAGAGAGTCAATCAGAAGAGTGTCTCCGTATGTCTGCGACGAGAAACAAAGCTCCTCGACGGGAGGTGACTCCAGGAGGAGGCTGTTAAATGGACAAAGGAACATTGTGTTGCCACGTAAATCCAGGCTATTGTGTAATTAGTGGTCCCCTTCTCTGCAGACACCATGAGCTGATTAACCCAAATTAGCCCAAATCCCCATTAGAAGCAGACTGCATCGGCCAGCACATGAACAGGTCACAGCAAACAGGCTCACCACACATTCAGTCCCACTTCCATTGTCTTGTACTTTTGAGTATCTGAGAGTTCATACCCAGCATTAGAAATGCCCTATACATATTTTTTAAAGAACTGATAGAAAGAATCTTGTTCCGCTTCCAGTTGAGATTAGCATCAGGCTGAAAAGTATGAAAAGGCTTTACAGTCGTCAGAGAGGAATGATTTCAAGAACAGGAGGGCGGTGGGGGTCGTCCAGAGGGCAGGGGCTGATTTCCTGTTAACGCTTCCCCCTTCCTCATGAGCCAGCATGGTAGGCTGATTTCATTCAGCACGATCCCTGGGGACAGCCCATACAACCACATGCTAGTCACTGGTGACAGCTTGCATATCTAGGCTTTTCCCCCATGCTTTGTCCATTTATTGGATGTTTTGTGAGCATGTTTTGATGTGTATAAAAGTGCATGAGAGAGGAACTGATTGCATTAGCAGGTTTTTATGCTGAGAAGAAGATGCAGTATCTCCCATCCAGGCAATTTTCCAGCCATCCGGTACACACAAGCACAGAAACACACACAAGCACAGAAACGCACACAAGCATAGAAACGAACACAAGCATAGAAACTCACTCAAGCACAGAAACACACACAAGCACAGAAACGCACACAAGCACAGAGACGCACACAAGCACAGAGACGCACACAAGCACAGAAACGCACACAAGCATAGAAATGCACACAAGCACAGAAATGCACACAAGCACAGAAACGCACACAAGCACAGAAACGCACACAAGCACAGAAACACACTCAAGCATAGAAACACACACAAGCACAGAAACGCACACAAGCATAGAAACGCACACAAGCACAGAAACGCACACAAGCACAGAAACGCACTCAAGCATAGAAACACACACAAGCACAGAAACATACACAAATGTGACATACAACATACCCTAAATAACAGATACAGAAGCATCACTGACATCACAGTGATACTAATACATAGAAATATACAGCCGTAATAACTAGACCAATAGTACTCCTGCGGTCACAGTCAAATACACACACATCACGATTTGAGCTTACAGATAGCAAAACCACAAAGCTAGTGTATGACACACACCACAAACAAATACCAAAACCGTAGTAGCAGATACAGACACCTACTGAAATTTAAACACCCCAGTGTGTAATGCACATACAAACATAGCACCCAAAGTATTAAAGTATCAGAGACAGACACCCACCTCTAACTCCCCCCTGCAACCATAGCTCTGTTGACTAATTTACAGTTTGTTTGAGAAAACACAATAAAATGGTGTTCTGCGGCTGTTTAGACACAGACACAGATACACACTTAATACATTTGCATTCCTTTTCTGTATCATTACACACTGTCATATTCACAGCAGTGGTGGGGAGTAGCAATGCCTAGACATCTAGGTCAACACCATAAAACCCAGCTCCATCTCATTCATGTGCCAGGCCATAAATATTTACAGGGCTTCTCTGTGTGCTGTGTGACTAGCCTGGACTAAATATATTATACTCATAAACCAGATGAGCATTTTGAGCCATAATAAAATAAACAGTAAAACTGGATGCATTGTCTACATGGTTTATCACTGTCTACATTCCTTTAAGTGGATTACATAAGGTTGGCAACAAAATATACACTAAAACCAAGCAATGCAAAGTGAAGCATGTTCTCCTTGCTCTCTATGTGTGGATTTCCCACCCTGCCTTCCAGGCCTCTCCTAGTGTTTTAGAAAGTTCCCCAAACCATTATGACCTTCTAAGATGTTAAACTGTAAATTTCTTGGGCTGTGAAACTGTATCCGACGCATCATTTGACAACTGCTTGAAAATGTATTCCCGTTATCTGTGAACAATTCTGCCCACTACTGGACAGTTTAAGAAGAAATTGTATTGCGTATGAAATTACAAAAATGTGCATGTTTATCACCACTTCTGTGTACTGCTGGTTAAAAGAGAATTCCATTTGGTATTACAATATTTTATTTTCTAAGCTGGGAGATACAGTATTTTCTAAGGTGGAGATACAATATTTACCTAAATATTCAATCGCCCATCTTGCATGTGGCAGTACAGGGTTGAGGTGAAGCACGGCAGCGCAGGGGATAACCGGGATGAGAAGCACTTACTTAATGTTAAACACCTTTTCACTGGTTCTGGCACCTTCAAAAGTGGGTGTGTCCTTAAAACAGGTTTCACTCTATTAAAAAATCAGCCTGTGATAGATTCTACTGGTCGGGTCAAAAATTAATTCCTTGCATAACATAGTTTATTTGAATGACTAGAAATCACCAATCGTACGAGGCATGGTCCCAGAGTGCTGATGTTGTTGGCGTTATTGTTTCCACGATCACTGATCCCTTTTAGGGCTGCTAAGCGGTCTCGGGAAATGCAGACATCGTAATATGCAGCAATACCTATATCATCCATCAGATGGCAGCCAACGACTGATTTTGAGTTTGTCTTTGCAGGGCTCTATCATCGTGGAGCAATTGTTCTATTATTACCAAATTATTTGTCACAAACACTGATTTATAGACTAATTTTTGACTAATTTACAGGGGGAAGATACAGTAAGAGCATCGTAACAAATATAACAAAACACTTCCCCCCCAGATCTTATGATGGTACTGAGGCCACTCCATGTATCATTCAATCATTAACACAGTTTCATTAAAGAATTTGATCATCCAAATGATTTATCCATAGAAATATTTGATTGAGGTTGGCTTTGAATATCTAAGTAAAGTTATACAACAGAAGTCATGTTCTGAAGTACTCCTTTACGCCTGAAATGATACATCCATCTATCCGTCTGTCCATCCGTCCGTCCATCCATCCATCCATCCATCCATCCATCGTCTGCCACTTATCCAGGGTCGGGTGACAGGGGCAGCAGTCTGAGCAGGGATGCCCAGACCTCCCTCTCCCCAGGCACCTCTTCCAGCTCCACAGGGGAAATAACAAGGTGCTCACAGGCCAGCCAAGTGATATAATCTCTCCAGCGTGTCCTGGGTCTGCCCTGGGGTCTCCCCCCAGTGGAACATTCCCGAAGCACCTCCCCAGGGAGGCGTCCAGGAGGCATCCTAGACAGATGCAAGAACCACCTCAGCTGGCTCCTTTCGATGATACAGGTTGAACAAATGTCTGTTATATCACAGACTGCACAGTACAGCAATTCATTACAGAACAGGCTATATGGTTCAATTGCGCACTAGAAACAATGCTGATTGTAAGCTTTACCCCTACAGAAGCTTTGCTGTCATTTAGAACAGGTGAACCATGATACAGACTTGATGCACAAGGGTCAAGGGTCAAAAAGGGTTGGAAACATATTGCCCAATGTAATGGTGCTGGTAAATCTGGTGTCTTTAGCTGCAGTTAAGAAAAACAAAAACATCTATCCATCTTCCAACCATTTATCCTGGTCTGTGTGTGAAAGAGAGTGAGCAAAAATAAAATCCATTATATTTTCCATACTGCTTGTCCATTAGAGGATGAAGGTGAGTCTTGACCCAGAATGGGATAGCAGTCCATCACAAGACATTGACTCCCACACCGATACTCACTGAACTATTTAGATACACTAATTCACCTTTTTGGACTTCATGAAGTACCCGGGATACACGGGAGAAAAATCCACGCAATCATGGGCAGAATGCGCAAACAAGCAGAACAAGAGAGCTCAACAATAGTCTTGAAGGATTACAACATTAAAGTAAAAGTATTAGATGTGGAATATGGTCGGGTTTAGGACCCAGCGGATGAGCGCGATGTGAGTCACATGACACGTGGAGCCAGGAGTCCTACAACAAATACGGGGCGTGTTTGTCATTTTTTATCCCGTGTTACTTTATGCGAGTTTGCAAAGTCAAGTTTCACAAGTATAGCAACGTATTTTGGAAATGAGTGGTTAGCGTAGAAAAATGTTGTTGCTATATATAGCATCGAAAGAAATATAGCAAATATTGCAACGAAAGAAAGTAGTTAGCCTGGACTATAAATTAATACATGATGAAAATAACGTTGCCTTTCGTGACCAATCTGATTTGTGCTTGTTTGGTAATGTGTGAAAATGCGGTAAGTGATAATACTTGTGCTATTTTTGTGTGCGTTACACGTTGGGGTGTTAAAATCCCACTAGGTGTCTGTTACTGTGTTAATATAGTAACGTGCGCTGGTACCTGCCTGTTGGAGATACTGTGACCTTACGTGGTTTATGTAAATGCTGGTTGGTATCAGGTGTAATATCTAAAACAATCCTGTATAACTCTTAAACGTTTCTCGACACCGGCGTTTTGTGATGCTTACTGGAAGTGACAATTTTGCATTCTTTAGTACACGGTAATAAAACGTTTACGTCGTTTGTTCCCGTCTCATGTTTATTTTTAGGCTTCTGAGTCCGGCACGTTCTCTATAGACTACAAGAATGACTGTTTTTTGAAAGACGGGAGGCCCTTCCAGTATATCTCTGGCAGCATCCACTATTTTCGCATTCCGCGTTTCTACTGGAAAGACCGGCTGCTGAAGATGTATATGACAGGACTCAATGCAGTCCAGATGTACGTTATTTTGGTTTCCAGACTGTATTAATAGAAACCTGGGTATGAATATGTTTCTGTAGCTAAAAGAGATGTCTGTAAATATAAACGCACCCTATAGCATACTACTCTAGTGCATCTTCTAGAGTTGCTTTTTTTGTGTATTTTACTATCAAACAGTTAATATTCTGGTCTGCGCGTGCCTTATTCTGTTCTCTGGCGGGTGTTCGCTGCTGTAGATATGTACCCTGGAACTTTCACGAGGCCATGCCAGGCGTGTACAACTTCTCAGGGGATCGGGACCTCGAGCACTTCCTGGACTTGGCCAATCAGACGGGTCTGTATGTGATCCTGCGCCCTGGACCCTACATCTGTGCAGAGTGGGAAATGGTCAGTGTCACATTCGCTCTGGCTCAGTGGTTCTCAATCCTGTTCCTGGTACCCCCCCCCTTCCAGAATGTTTTCATTCCAACCCTAATATGACCCTTAATAGGCTAATAATGAGTATGGCTGGTGAAAGGCAGTATGGGTTGGAATGGAAATATTATGCCGGGGAGGTGGCTTCAGGAACAGGATTGAGAACCACTGCTATGGCTGTTCAGTGCCCCCCCCTTTGGGTGGCAAGGCATTTTGCATTATGATATTTCAAAGCTTTAATTTAAACCAATACTTAAAGTAGTAAATAATAAGTGATGTGAGCAAGGAAACCTCATTGATACTTGTGCCGCTGAGATGTAGTTGTTGAATGCCTTGTGAGCAGTGCCATCTATCCATCCATCCATCCATCCACCGGGGTCGCAGGGGGGTCCGGAGCCTTTCCTGGGAACAACGGGCGCAGGCAGGAACCAACCCTGGGCAGGCGCTAACACACTGCATGGTGCACACACTCACACTCACACGGACACAATTACGGGGCCAACTTTGAGCCAAGCAACCTACCGCGTATACTTTGGACTGTGGGAGGAACCCGGAGCCTCCGGCAGAAACCCATGTGGCCTCCTTGTGAGCAGTGCTTTGTTGCATAACCAGTGGACTAAATTGTGAGTGAGGAAGCAGAAGAACAGTTAAGCACATAATCGTTACCCCGCTCCCGTATGATGATGTTATAATGGCCTGATAATGTCAGGCGCCACACAGGAAATGATTCAGTAACCCTCCAGGTCCGTGTGCGAATGCTGAGGACGGCTAACTTTACAGTCCTCTGTGTGTTTAGAGTCCGTCACTGCTTCTCCCGTACAAAGGGTCACTCTGGACAGGATGCTAGACCACTGCAGTGCGTTATGGGTACTTCAGAGCCTCCATTTCACTTAAACTACACCTTTCTATGGAAGGAAAGCAATACAAACACAGCGCTCAAACTGTACAGCTGCAGTGCTAAGCAGTGAGCCCCCTCGGCCCTCTGTACTTATATTCGCCTTCCTCTAATCCCTGCAGGGTGGTTTGCCGGCCTGGCTCCTGCAAAATCCTGATATCATGCTGCGCTCCACAGACCCAGGTAAGGCCTTCAGAAGCCCCTTGCTGGAGAGTACCAAGTAGTAGCCCCTTACTCCCCAGTCCCACTATTCTTAATTCTTTACATTGCATTGCAGGGAAAATAGTATTCAGTCCAGAATGTTCTAAACTCACTGGCAGTCTGTAGGCCTCAGCTTGCACTGCAGATCAGCGGCTCTCTGTCGAGGGTATATGGGTGCTGGCACTAACTCTGATTGCTTGTGCTGTTAATGCAGACTATTTGCAGGCCGTGGACAGCTGGCTGGCTGTGCTCTTACCCAAGGTGAGGCCGTGGCTGTACAGCGAGGGAGGGAACATCCTCAGCGTTCAGGTACCATGTGCATCAGCTCGTGTAAAAGCAGCTTCAGGCAGACAGCATGTAAGATGGGGCAAACTCTTGATGTCTTCATGTCTTACTAGAGCTAGACGTCCCTATGCACATGTCTGTAAGGGCTTCTTTGCCGATCTCCCAGGTGGAGAATGAGTACGGCAGTTACTTCACCTGTGACTACAACTACCTACGGCACCTGCACAACCTCTTCCGGGTCTTCCTGGGGGAAGACACGGTCCTGTTCACTACCGATGGGAACACGGACAAGGAAATGGCTTGTGGAACGCTGCAGGGTCTGTACGCCACCATCGACTTCGGAACAGGTAGGAAGGAGCTTTGGAACATGAACTGACATGTCAGCTCGGCCTGTTTTTCCACTTAAAGTTGATTGATTGTTCTGATTCATTGAGGGAATCCATTCTCATCGTCTTTAGGTTTAGTATAAGGTGAAAATATTTGGGTGTGATTGGATATTGGGTTTGGAATATGTTTTAATTGCTTAACTTGCATATGGAGGTACTGTATTCTGACAGGTGTGTTTTACTCTCCTAATTTGGTTTATTTCCTGCCCAGACACCAATGTCAGTGCCGCCTTTGACCGCCAGCGCAGGTTTGAGCCACGGGGTCCATTGGTGAGTGAGATCACAGCACCGTGTCGCACTGCTCAGTTTGCATACCAGCTCAGTTAGTTGGTGGGGGGGGTCATAGCCCTGTAGAGCCCTGATTCGCACATGTTTCAGGTAAACTCTGAGTTCTATGCCGGCTGGTTAGACCATTGGGGTGACCAGCATGCCCAGGTTGACACCAACAAAGTTGCCGGAATGCTGGAGGAGATGCTGTCTATGGGTGCCAACGTCAATATGTGAGTCCCGCAGGTTGGAGAGGCGTGGCTGTTGGGTTTGGAATGAACTAATCTATTATTAAACAATATAGTTTAATATTCAAGAAATCACGTGCACTGACCACTAGAGGGAGGTAATCAATACACAATCTTTATTGCTCATGATTGACAAATCATCTAATGTTTCTGATATCAAAAAGGATTTGCAGTCCCCTGATTTTATAAAATCTTCTGACCTTTTCCACCATAGGTACATGTTTGAAGGTGGAACGAACTTTGGCTACTGGAATGGTTGGTCAGCTACTCCTACCTTGTTGCGTTTTAACTTGACACCTGCCAGTGAATTTACACCAAAGCATGTGACATGAACAGAACAGACCCTCATGCATAGAGATCTGTGCCTGTTTGACCTGATTCCTCAGGAGCCGATCACGATACGAGATACCGGCCAGTGGTCACCAGCTACGACTACGACGCTCCTCTCTCAGAGGCAGGGGACCCCACCGACAAGCTACTGGCCATCAAGGACATCATAAAGAGGGTAAAATGGAGGGTAGCAGTGAGCATCAACCCAAAAATGAGGAGTTAAACTCATTTTAATAGGAAGGACCATTCTATTTCATGTAAATATTTAAGGCTATGTCTGTTAACAGGTCATGTGACTGTCATATTACATTTAAAATGATAGATTGGGTACCTTTTACAGCAGTGTTTCTCAGTCCAGTCCTCTGGGACACCCAGACAGTCCACATTTTTGCTCACTCCCAGCTCCCAGGGAATTGGGGACGAGCAAAAACATGGACCATCTGATGGTCTCTGAGGGCTGGGTTGAGAAACACTGTTTTAGAGATCATGTATCAATGTGTGTGTATTCTGCTGTAAGTGTTTAGGTTTCACTGTTTTTTTTTTTGTAATTTCCCTTCCCAGTTCCGCGCAGTCCCAGAGGGTCCCATGCCGCCACCCACAGCAAAGTTTGCCTATGGCTTTGTCACCTTAAAGAAGGCATGACTGCCGCGTCCGCCCACACTGCACTCGCTATGTCCAGCCGCTGAGTCAGTCTGCAGGGCCCTTCAGTGTTCCTGGGGATCATTCCTTGCTGTTTTGCCCTGCAGGTGGGCAGGATGAGCAGCCTGCTGGACATCCTCTCACCCCAGGGTCCCATCCTGTCTCCAAATCTGAAGACATTCGAGGAGATGAAACGGGTACGGAAATGTCGGGAGGGCAGAAGGGGGTGCGGGGAAGGGCCTCCATTACACTGGGGGGGTCTAGCAAAGCAACATGAATAATGTATCGTGTCTCTTGGTTTTTTGCAGTATTATGGCTACATGCTGTATCGCACCAAGCTGCCCAAAATGCTGCATGATAAAACCCCCCTCATCTCCCCCCTGAATGGCGTCCATGACCGGGCGTATGTCTCTGTCAATGGGGTAAGGTCTCAGGGTGCATATGAATGCAGAGCAGTCCCTAACTGGGAATGTACGTCTCTGTCAATGGGGTAAGGTCTCAGGGTGCATATGAATGCAGAGCAGTCCCTAACTGGGAATGCAAGATGTTACTTCATCACAGCGGGAAATTCTTTTGCGTAGAGCGGTGAGGGACATAGTGCACAGATACAAACACATATAATGCAATGAAAAATAGCAGAAACATTACCCATGGGGCAAACTGTAGATATATATACAGTAGAGCAGATTGTTGCATAGCATATGCTTGTCACTAAAGCTATTTCTAGCTGTAGGTTATCCAGTCATTTGGTTTTAAAGGCAAAGACGTGTGACTATCCAGTTGATTTTTTTTTTTTGATATATTTTTTTTGTTTTTTTGTTTTGTTGTGGCATCTAATGTCCAACACCAGTCCTGTGGGTTTTACCTACTTCCTCATTCTTGTACCAGATGACAACTACCACAAAAATCAACACTGTGACTGAAACCCAGTGGTGCTCAAGAACCTGCTTAAGATATTGTTATTAATAGCCTAAGATCATGTTTAATAACTTTCTCTTTGGACAGGTGTACCAGGGCCTCCTGGAGCGAGATACTACATTAGCTGTCAATGTGACGGGGCAGCAGGGGGACCAGCTGGACATCGTGGTGGAGAACATGGGTCGGGTCAACTTTGGCAGCAAGATCAATGACTACAAGGCAAGGCTGGATTTAAAACCACCTTATCACTGTTACTGTGGTTGCCTGGTGCTGGGGTGCAGTGTGCTTCTGTGGGCTGGAGTGATGTCACCGTTGGGCCCTTAAGCGAGGCCCTTAACTCCAGTCATTCCAGGGACTGGCTGACTCTGCTCTCTGAATTGCACTTCAGGCAAAAGTGTCTGGTAAATAAGTTTTAAAGTAACCTCAGTGTTTGCAAGACCAGGATAGATCTTTTAGTCAAGTCAAGCAACAGCCTGAACTTCCTGTAAGCTGCAGCATATGTGGATGTATTGCATTGTTTATGTTCTTGTGAAACTTTGCTTAAAGAGAAGATAATTGTTTTTCTAGGTGTCAGATAAGATGGTTCTAAATGACATATGGAAAACATGCCAGAGCTGTTTAAGTTATTTCTGCCAAGTAAAACTTGTTCTGAAGCATGGATGCTATCATGGACATATTTTATAGTGAAAGGCACCCTCACATTGTCTTGTAACAGTTGTGTTGCTGTGCTCTAATTAATACAGCAGGATTTTTCAAGTAAAAGCTGAATATTGGCAGGTGAGATGCACGCTGAGCACCCTGTGAATGTCACGGTCCTTCTGTCCTCAGGGCTTGGTGAGCAGTCTCTTCCTTGGCAGTGATGTGCTCACTGATTGGCAGATATATTCTCTGGACATTGATGAAGTCATAGCAAGTGGGTGGCCACATTCAGGGGGACTGGACCTCAGTCTTGAGCCAGGGAGTGAAGCTTTTGATGGGCCAGTTTTCTATATGGGGACCTTGGAGCCAATGGGTTTGGCCTGGGATACGTTTCTTAAGCTCAGAGGATGGACCAAGGTAAGTGGAACCGCTGGCAGATCCATGCCATGTAATGCTGGCTTTGTGCCGAGGAAATCAAATCTGAGCTGACCTTCAGCATGGCTTTCCAGGAGGGGCCTGGGCACTGTGGTGGCAGGTGTTGAATTCATGTCTTGACAGCTGAGCATGTTCATATCTGCCTCTGTCTTCAGGGTCACGTCTGGATCAATGGAGTGAATTTGGGCAGATACTGGCCTCAGAGAGGCCCACAGCAAACTCTGTTTGTTCCTGGGCCCCTGCTCAGTGGCTCACAACCAAACAACATCACCGTTTTGGAGCTGGAGCGAGCGTCAGCTGACGCCAGGGTCCTGTTCATGGATCGGGCCCAGCTGAACAGTGCCGCAGGGGGATCATGATGCTCGTGCAGTCATGCCAAGCTTCGCAGAATGTCTTGCCATATCATTAGATGTAACCTGATTACTTGAATGTTTAACTTTTGCGCTCAGGTCTGTGCCTCAATGAGCCTTTTATTACTGAGCAGTTAAACTCTATTTTCTTGTCTTGTATACATATTCCAGTATCATACCTGCAGAAACCTTATAAATTGTAGTGATTACAGTTGCCTCTTGGCTGAATTGTTGCTCTAATGCTGAGCGTCAGGGCTACGGTAATTCTGCTGTATTTAGTGATTGAAGATTAATACATAAATCATCTTCATGCTTGGAAATAAATTTATATTGAACATTTTAATGCTCATTTGGATTTATATAAGCCGGTCCTCTTTTGGCTTATATAAAAAATTAATTTTGCTTGTAGTGTCTAGAAAATTAAGTCACCAGGGACTTTGATTTGGTACTCAGCACAAATTAGAATTGCTTTGAAGGAAAAAGATTTACAGTAGTATTGTTTTTATAATTATTAATTGTGCAACAGAGTCATGTGCTGAGTTGGGATGACTGACTGTGTTGAGATCCCTAGCCGTCTGGGGACTGGAATGTAACTGATGCTGTGGCCAGATCACTGGCCGGGAACTGGGATGTAACTGATGCTGTGGCCAGATCACTGGCCGGGAACTGGGATGTAACTGACGCTGTGGCCAGATCACCGGGTGACTGGGGACCGGAGTGAACCTGACGCTGTGGCCAGATCACCGGGTGACTGGGGACCGGAGTGAACCTGATGCTGTGGCCAGATCGGCAGCCGGCTGGGGACCTGAATGTATCTACTTTCAGGGAAGCAATGATGCTCATTGGCCTGTTTCCCATACCGCCCCTCCCACGTAACCATTAACTACAGGATATTCTCATTAGCTGACACCAATCACTTATGTACCTGAGAAGGAGGAAGTCTTCCAGATTTCCCCCAGCGATCTTGTTGTGTTTGACCTGCATTACTTACCAGAGCACCCTGTTGCACATCTGCTGTGTGTCTCACTGTGCTTTATAACCTCTTGGTTTGTTGTGCATAGGTGTGCATTTATTGAGATGCACATCAGGTGCCACAGAATTTTTCATACTGTCATACTATCTAGACATGCAGACCAAAGTATACTGTCGCTTGATGGTATTTTCAAACGCAATGCTATTTTGGTATAGTGAAGTCTTAGCAATAAAATTTGCTGAGCAAGTGGGGGAGTCTCTTTGACATACTTTGCCGAATGGTGAACCTCGAGAACCTATCCCAGAACCTATAGGCAGAAGGTAGGGAATAACCCATTTTGGGGCACCCACCCCAGAAAAGGAGGCACGCCTACAGACATTTTAGCAACTCAACTTTACCTTAGCCTGTTTTTGGACTGTGTTGGGGGTGGGGGGGGGACACGATGAAAACATGCCATCTCCGCACATGCAGGTAGAGCCTGGTGGAGACTCAAATCCAGGTTTCCAGAGGCATGAGGTGCCTATGCTAACCACAGCACCACCATGCCAGCCCAGGCATAGGTACAGATACAGATCATTTTATTGGTTGAAGAGATAAAAATAGTCCTGCACTCACTGACCCGTACTGGGCATCATTAGATGCCTTATATCTGGGCATTGTGCCATGGCAACAAGTGTTACATGAACTCAGCGAAACTACACGAGTAGCACTACTAGGCTGGAGCTGTGTAATGAAGAATCACGCTCTTCTGGACATTAACCGTGCCAGGCAATAACTAAGACATCAGCATTCCCCTCCTGAGTGGTAATCCTTACTTCCTGTGTGCTGTAATATAACTTTTAACTCAACCCAGCCCTCATTCGCTCCAAGTGAGGCAATAATTCTGGGGCATTTAGTTCACGGGAGTTCTATTTATACAAAAATGTTCTGAGGGCAGAACAAAATGAGAGATAACCAATCAGATTGTAGAGGAGGTGTGTCCAAGCAACTAGAGGATGTGGGACTGAGACATGTGATTGGTAGGACCCACTTCCTCTACAATCTCTCTGAACCAATCGTTTTTCCTTCTGCCCTCAGAAGATTTTTGTGTAAGTAAAACTCCCAATAGCGTAAATCTACCTCCCTCTGATGTGACTCATTTACTGTCTCAGGACTTTCTCAACCACTTGGAGCTAGGGCTAAGCAAGTTGACCTATAAATTCACACCTACGCTAATGTTATGATTTTAATCATTTTTTCCTAAAAATCTCAAAAAATGAAAAACATTATTGAAATAATTTTTAAAAATACCAACAATCAACATGTTTAAGAATAGCAAACACATGTATGAAATTAGCACTTTTCCACTGTATATTTGAGCACCCTGTCTTTGGCAATATGAAACCTGTCTGCATCTGTAATTTCTTTCCACCAGAATCTCTTCTTGTCGTATTGTTCCCTGCTTTTGAGTCTGTACTTGGCAGCTGCGGCTAGCTAGCACACTTCAAATAAAATAGTAAATGATATTGCGCCTATACTTTCTATGGAAGCCCGTTTCTAGGGAAGCCCGTTTCCGCCACCGGGGAAAAAAATAATGTAAAATTTAAGTCGAAATTTCAATTTAGTTATCTCGTTATTTCGAGATTTTTACTTATTACTTATTATCTCGAAATAACGAGATAACTATCTCGAAATTTCGACTTAAATGTTATATTATTTTTTCCCCGGTGGCGGAAATGGGTAACAGGTGTTCTAACATTCCGCTCGTTGTTTTTTTTTTTTTTAAATGAGGCGTGGCCTGGCACATTGTCGGCTCATTGCTATTTTAAGGCAGCGAAATGACATTGTCCTTTTCACCAACAATAACCAAATCTAAAGGCAGTTGCGCGTTGTAAAGCGATATTTAGTGGTCTGTTACGTGCGGGTGCACGACGCTTGCATTTACACATATATGTACTCGAAGTGCAGTGCTGTTTTTTGTTTTTTAATTTAATTTATATGTTTTTATTGAGTACATTTGGCCATTTCACGTAATCATACTGCTTAATAAAACACTAATAGGTAAATATTAAGTAATTAAAGATCAAACCGTATAATTTAAAAACCTTTCGAGTCCATTATCATAATTAAGCACGTACGTAATTGAAAGGACATTTGGATTGCTGAAAATGTGTTTCAGTTATTTAGATGTCAGGTGGAACATTACACTACAACTCTCAAAAGGCATTATTTGTGGCATGTTTATGTTGCGTAACATTTCCATACGTGATGGATGTCTGTTGGACGTAAATGAGGACACATTAAAGGACTTCAGAAGGTGTGATGCTGAACTGCATGCGCCGATGGCAACAAAGGACTCAAGGAGTGTTCGCCGGCAGCAGCGCGGGCAAGGAGGGATCAGCTGGCAGAAGAGCAGAATCGTCTGTAGCCTGGTAAGGGATCTGTATTGTGAGAACAGAAGAATAACAGTCCTGTTGCGTATTATTTGAACAGATCACATGCTGAGTGTGTTGCTACATTGGTGGTAAAGCTGGACTCCACCAGCAGGGCCAGAGTGCAGGGTGCTGAAGCTCGCAAACGGCAGAAGGTGAACCGCGATGAGAGAGATGACCTCTGATGACCAAGAGAAGGCGACAGACTGAGACTGAGACCATGCACATTGCCAGTTTCCTCAAAATACGGAGACCACATATTTCACTGGCTGGTGAAAGGGGGCCTTCTGGCTGTGGATATAAAGGAGGGGCCTCAGTTGTGCCTGAAATGAGAAGGAATGAGACTGAGACTGACCTCTGGCAATTTCAAGGATTTTATGTTTTGAGATATTTGTTGGTCTAAGTTGTGGCTACAGGTTCAGTACTTTTCATTTTAAATGTGGCAGTGTAGTATATTGTGTTAACAACAAAAATGAAAAGAAAATATATTAATGACACAACAGAGAGACTGATATGTCATCTTTATGGCATCAGTTGTTTATGTCAGGTGAGTTTTATTATAAGTACGTATGTGTGTGTTATATCATTCTCTTGCTTCTTGGTGATTTTTGTGAACCCAAACAAGTCATATATACCCTAATCAGAGTTGGTGGCTGCTATACCATGTGCTTTTTCCTGCTTTGTGATGTTGTGATGCTTCTTGTTACAAGGGGATGCTTATTCTTGGTCAGGGAGACGCACGAAACAGATGTTACTGTAGCTGTTATTTGTGTACTGGTTTTGCCATACGATTGAACACTTTTTATACACTCTGAACTGGCCATACAAAAAATATGTTCTTCTGAGTTCTTAATCACCAACTATTTCAGAGGTGGATTGCAATAGCAAAGAGTTATTTCTCTGCCAAGCGATTTGTGTTCTTATGTCACCCCAGTATATGAGAAGCCAAAGATTCAGTTACACTTGTTTGGTCATTGGTTTCCTCTATCAAATTTGACCATTTTGGCCATTATGAAATATAAGCTGGATATGTAATGGTTTACCTACCTCACCCACCCCTCTATAAAACTGCTCAGGGCAGGTACAGCTCTAAATCAGAGGCAGTCAGGGCTGGCCACTCCAAGGAAATTGTGGCCAGCCCTGTTGTCACCCCACATCCAGGGGCGGATTAACGCACAGGCTAGATATGGCTTAAGCCTAGGGGCCCCACGTGTGCCAGCCTGCAAGGGGGCCCCCATTGGCGCGGAGGGGGGCGGGGTTGGGGGGCCCACAGACTACTGTAGCCTAGGGGCCTCTGTGCACCTTAATCCGCCCCTGCCCACATCAAAATAATAAAAACAAAATATGCATTATTTTATTTTCTAAGCAGAACCATGGTATATGGTGCAGTGCAACCACCTCCATAAATACCTCCTGATGGCCACCCCAATCAAGATTTTCTGCTGACACCACTGGTTGTGTGAAAGTTTAACTGTTGATCCTGCCCCATGTATAGAAACAGACTGCTTATGTTCCATTTAATACTCATCATATCTATATTGCATCAATATTACAGCTATATGCAACACAGCACCCAGTGACAAAATGAGACTAACCCCAACCAAGCTGTTAAATGACCCTACAGTCACATCAGCTCAGGAAAGTTCTGCAAATTTCAAAGTCAAAGGAAAATTGGGTGAAATGCATATACCAGGGGTGGGGAACCTGATCCGTGGAGAACCAGTGTGGGTGCGGAATTTTGGGATGACCTCTCAATCAGCCAATAAATCACTGTTTTATTATTAGTTGACTGAGAGATCATCACAAAAACCTGCACCTACACTGGCTCTCTATGGTTTCCCCACCTCTGGCACAGACAAGTTTTATTATGATCTTTGATTTTAGTTGTGATTAACATACATTGTACATGTATGTATACATACTCACGAATTTTGTTGAAGAAAAAAAAAAAACTTTGAATAACTTGAATTTTTTTTTTACATCATTTATAATGTTACATTTAACCCAGGGCTATGTTACAACTATCACTGGGTGCGTTTCCCAAACAACGATGCATTAACGATGCATCGTACTATGGTGGTTCAAACTAACCAACATCCGAAGTACGACTGTTTCCCAAAACCGTCGTACCACAGTAGTTCGAACCACGTTAGTTGGGACTTCCGCAGTTCGAACTACCATGGTTCCAGCGCTGATTGGTCAGAATGACGGCAAACCTACAGTAGTTCGAACTACAATGGTTACAGCGCTGATTGGTCAGACTCATGGCGAGTCGTGCGTAACAACTAACAAACTTGGTTTCAGCTGCTTTGGTGTTAAGAAGTTAACAAGTGCACTAGAGGGGCAACAATGAGACGACCCCCAAAACAGGAATGGTTTAACAGGTGGAGGCCACTGACATTTTTCCCTCCTCATCTTTTCTGACAGTTTTTTTCACTAGTTTTGCATTTGGCTACAGTCAGTGTCACTACTGGT